CCCTGAATGGCAAAACCTCAGTATTTGGAAATCTTTCTTATGCTTGGGTGTCTTAGAACAAAGAAATTACCAAGCTTCAAAACATCCATTTCTCAGCACTTATCCATAGATATGCAGCCTACAGAATCCTCTTCTCTTGGGACACATTCTGAGCCACAGGACATCAAAATCACTCTTCTAGACCTTTGTATTTGTAGTTCCAGACTCCCACAAAGCCTGCCCAGCAGTTTATTATTACAGAAAATGCAAGCTACACTTGCTCTCTCTGCATGTAAATAAAGCCACAGGCAACAGCCTGTGTCAGCTAATACTCCCTGCATTGCAAGCAATTTAGTTTTGGGGGGGGGGGGGGGGGGGGGGTGGGGGGTGTATTTTTAATTCTAAGCTTTTAAAATGGCATACACCACCATATGATCCCAGACAGCTAGCTTTGCATAGTTTACTAATAACTACAAACTGCATCAGTAGTCCTCAAGCATCCCATGCAGTTTCCTTCTGTGAAAATAAAAAGCAAGGGCTTCAACTCTTAACAGAAACCCTCTGCCTTTCTCACTCTGACCAGGTCCTTTGGTGGATTTGCCTCCCCAGAAAAATATGCTGAGGAAGCTGAAGTCTTGGCCAGAATCTTAAGAAACAGAGACCAACCATTCCATGAAGACTTCTTCTATACTGCAGGCTACGACAGCCCCTTCAAGCTCTTTAACAGGCACAATGAAGTGTGGTATTTTAAAAAGTAATACAGTGGCGGCGGTGGGGTGTATAAAGAGGCTACTAATCAGCTCTGGATGAAAAACCAACCAACCTTATTAATGGCTTTTGCTTTAGTGCAGAAGATACTTAATTTGCATCTGGACACAAGATCATGCCTAATTTTTTCTAGGGTGAAATACTATTCTTGCTAAAAAGATACCACCTCTTTCTTCAAGATGCAACTTGAATTCAGGTAGATTGTAGGGAGTGGGAGATATGACAAACCTATTCCTCTTACTGAAAGGTTCTAGGGAACACCAGTAATCTGAAAATATTCCTGCAGTACAGCTTGGATGTTTAGTTCTACTTCTCATTAGAAGTACTACAGCATTAGCTCACATCTTGCAGAGAATGAGCTCTTCATAGAGCTGACTATCCCCACATTGGTATCACTCCTGAGACAGAAGAAATATGGGAGAATTTAAATGATTTTTTCAGAGAAAAACCTATTAATGAGTTCTGGGAAACAGCAATACCTTAGCAGGCCTCAGTGCCTCAAAAGCAGTAACTTTTTTTAATTTTCAGAGCAAGTACAGACTGTTTCATTCTCAAAATGACACTAATTACTACTTCTTCATTTTATTCATGTCAACTGCAGGCTGCACACTAGCAGTATCTGACACTTGAGACCATTGCAGGACTAGCATTTAAACTAGTTTATACCCTGCTCTAAAGCTTTTATCAAGCAGCCCAGAGCTGTTTTACGGGAAGCTGTTCAAGTCAGAAAGCAGTTCACAACAACAGGTAGAGTTTACAAATTTTTATTGGTACCAATCAGTATCAGTCAAACATAACTGGTGTGGTAAAAGAACTCTTGGGCCTTTTTTTTAGTGCTGTTCATGCAAGTGTAACCCATTATTCTGCAATATTCCACCTATTAAGACAGACAGAAGAACCATTATAAGGCACCAAACCAGCATAAGCAGCTTGCTAGGAACAACTCAGACCTTAGATTTTCATCTCTGTTCAGTGAGAGAGTTCAAGGTAAGGTTATCATCATTTGTTCCAGCAAATAGATTTCATCATTACTAGTTATACTCACCTTCTCAGTTCTTCATACAGCAGTTTCAAGGTTGCCTCCTCACCTAGTGTAAGAAAACATAATTAACACCTGCAGTAGCACTACTCCAGAAGCTCCACAGCAACTTTGTAACCTCAGAGAAAAGTGGAACGGAAAGTGTAATATCACAGTAATTCATTTGGCAGAATCAAATTTCATCAGTGGCTACGAATATCTCCAGAATTTTTCTTAACAGAACTCATCTACTGTGTGGTCTTACCCAGTAAGGCTGCAGATGGCACACTCCTTTCCTGAGAAAGAAGGAAGTTGTTTCAGAATAACAGACATCACTACATGCAAGTTTAATTATCTATGAAATTCTACTCAAGCTAATTTTACTTAGGAGGCTGCACTTCAGGTAGCAACTGACAAGAACTTCAACTTGCAACACCCAAATAGGATATACAAAGCTCATAAATCCTAACTGAACTGGAAATACAGAACTATTAACACTGGAAGAATTGGGGAAAAATACAAAGCTATTTGCTTTGTGATACTGTCTCTCCCTAACAGTTACATTCAGTGAGTTTTGATACCTAGAATAGAGTCTCATAGAAATTATCTTGAAAACCTATCCCGAAAATTAAGAACCAGTCTGTTGGAGGAAGCCCATTTGTACAGCAATCTAGAACTTGATTCTATTTACGTAGTGCCAACGTAAGGTATTAGCAAAAATTACTGACTGACAGCCACAGCATACAGGGTTGGTATTTGTTTTTTTAGTTTGGTTTTTTTTTAATTCAAGAGTGCGGCCAAATAAATATGAGTTGTTAGGAGTTATTTTTGCTACTGTGCATTCTGCTGTACTACACTATCAACACTTCATTGGCTAAGTGGTCTGCACTAATTCAGCTCCTTTACTATTTCCACTGTGTAAAGGCATCCGAAAAGCTCCCAGTTTTCAGTCACTGAGGCCACACCTTTTCCTATAAACAGAACTACATAAAGTTTACTACTGACTACAGTTCAGGAATTGTTTTATCTACCCACAAAGAGCCTTTCCCTTTTAAGTCCAACTCAGAACTACACAGAAGTGCATTCTTGCTTCAAGCACATCATGTTGATTCCCACAGTAGCTGAGTGAGATAATCAGAATACAACAACAGGAAGACAAATCAGGTCTATGACAGGAGTAACAAGTAATTTTAGGCACTTAGGCATTCAGCACAAAACCAGTATTACAGTAATTATCAAACACAGTCTACTCTACACTTACCTCAGACATGAATTAGTCTCATTTCTCACACGAGCTCCCCTTGAGCTTCACTCTGTAACAAATGAAATTCTATTAACACATTCTCCTTGGCAGTACTTCAAGAGTTAGTTTGAATGCGAGTACTGTTTCAGCACAAGAGTCCTCCTCAGCCTCTTTCAGAGAGATTCCCATTGCTTAGAATTAATCATCACAAACAGTACATGCTTTGAGAAGCTTAATACTTTGTTACTTTTGTTTCTCCTTTGAGGTGGACCAGACCTTATCCCCAACTACATCTTGATTCACATCACTACACCCTGCAGTAGCCCACTAAATTTAACCAGCAAAAAGTTAAAACAATAAATAATTGTACCAGCTTTGGTCAGCACAGGCTCTATACTGATAGGTTACAACACATTCTTATTTTCCTAGTAACTCTAGTCCATAGCAGTTACGTATGTCAACTGGTCCATGCTATTTCTTTTCTGCTACAGAAAGCAGGTAAGATTTTTAAATAGTAGGAAAAAGAAAGTCTTGGGGCAACTGAGAAGCAGCTTACCAAGTAAGAATCATCTGTCACAAAGCATCCAGCAATTCTCCCATTCTCAAATCTAGGATACACCATTAGGAAAATGAAATGTCAGTCCAATATTTATGTTACTTTAGAGCCTCATTAAGACTTCCAGAAACTATGTCCATTACTGCTGGAATCATAACTTAGTACTGTCTATGTTCAAAGTATGAGATTCAGTCCCTAGCACCTTGGGCAAGTGAATCCTGCAGGCTGCTGGTAACCTGTGATCTATTGGTAGCAGCAAATCCTCAAGGAACCTTCTAAATGCTGCAGCCACACTGCAACTGGAGGCCAGCACTTAGTAACTTCCCCATCATCTATCACACAGTTCTGACCAGTCATATGCATTTGCTGGCAACTTACTTTTGCTGTAGACTACCAACAGCACTATTTCACAGCTTCACTGAAGCAGCCCTGGAACAAAGCAAAGCATCAGGACCATGGCACAAGCAAGCACATGAGAATAAAATCTAGCCAGGTGCCTGAAGTCAGATAGAGCTAATTGCAGACCTCCATGATTGAAGTCAAGGTACTCACATCTCATCACACAGGCAGCTCACAAATTACTAAACAGCTATTTGCTGCTGCTTTAGGCTAACACTGCAATGTGGAAGGCAAATATCCAAAGTGCCACAGTAGCAACTTTGAGCTCACAGGCACAGTGAGAGTTTAGCTACAAACCAGCCTGTCAAGGCTGCACCTTACTCAGTAATTCTCCCCTTAAGCATCCTGTTTCGGCTGAGATGCAAGCAGCAGCCAACACTGACACCTTGTCCTTCACACCTCACCCCCTCATCTCCCTCCGCCCCCAAAGCTTACATGCAATTATATACTTCATTCTAGGTGGTTTTTGTATGCTAATGCTTGCAGAGTTAAAACAAGTACTTACATTGCAATGAGAAACTTCGGAAGCCTGCAAAGGAAAATCTGCTATTAGGTAAGGTCCAGCAGAAAGCTTTCATGTAAGAACAGTTCCAGTGACATACTGTATCAGTGTTTAGTCACATGTTATCCTCATCAGGATCAGAGACCTGATTCAACATCATCTACAGTACATTGCAACACTCCCACCCCCTTCCACAAAGGGAGTAATAAAGCCATCTCTCAGCACTCTCAACTCCAGAGACTGCTGAAATTACAGAAAGGAGAAGACCTCTAAATTGCAGAGCTCAGTGGCACAAACTCTGTGTCAACATCTACATCCAGAAAAAACATTTCAAACAATAAATTCACAGCACAGCTGCATTCACCACTTAGTGTCAATGAGCCCATTTTAAAACAATTAATGTTTTTTTTGTGAAGCATAGGGGATCTGAAGGCAACTTAGGGTACTACTTGCTTGAGATTTTCCACAAATGGAATGGGATCTGCAGACCCTCTTATCTCCAAAAGCAAACTCCCAAGTTCAAATGCAACATCCACCCGAAAGAAAAGAACATGTTTTTCAATTACCTTCAGTTAGGAAGACCTTGTCTTCACCAGCATTAGTAACAGGTGAAATAGCTTCTTACTGGAGGTACAGGTATCCTCTATCAAGGGCAGCCTGCAAAGCAACAAAATACTTACAGAACTTGCAGCACTAAGAGCAACCAGATCAACCAAGACTGCATTACTGAAATTGCAAATTTATTATGCTGTATTTGTACCCAATTTCACAAGCACAGCCTACCCTTTATCCTTCTGAATTTTTAGCCCATTTACTGATCTTCTGATTTTCAAAACACATCCATGGCGCAAATGTGTTTCACTCTCAGCTTTCCTCATGAATTGTCTAACAGCTTAAGATACAGAAGGCTGCATCAGCTAGGAGCGAAAGACAGTTAACAGCATGATCACCACAAGTCATCTGCTGAACTATGCTGTCATCACATGCAGCCATCCACACATTTGGGATATAAATGAGCTTTAACAAACACAGGCAATATAGTATTTACCTTGCACGGCTTATAGCTTCATCTCCCAGTATCTGCAACAAAAGAAAAAAATCCCATCAGATTCCCTCAGCCTTCATGGCCAAGCCTACACCCCTTAGCAAGAGATCACACAAGATACATCAGATAGGAGCGAAAGACAAAACTGTTCGTCACAGGATATTCTGCTGAACTATGCCATCATCACTGTATCTGCTCTGGAATAACAGACCAAACAACCACTTCTTGTGTCAGCTTTGGATAAATAAGCCACATAGACATTTAAGAGTCTGAATGTCAGCAAGTATCAATTGTTTCTGTGTATTAATGGAAATTAATCCCAAAATACCTCCCCATTT